AGGGCAGGGGGCTGCAGAGCCAGCTGGTGCCTATCCTGGCCAACATCCTGGAAGTGGAGCAGGCCAAATGCTGGGGCTTCGACCAGTTCTTTGCGGAAACCAGTGACATCCTGCAGCGAGTTGTCGTCCACGTCTTCTCCCTGTCCCAGGCTGTCCTGCACCGTGTCTACATCCACGCCCACAACACGTGAGTAGGGGTGAGGGAGGGAAGGCATGAAAGCTTTCTCCACCCAAGCAGAAATGTGTGTCTAAGGCAGCACCTCCCAAGGCATGGGGACTTAGGTATGAAATCTTCTGGGTCCAAACCTAGTTTGGAAAAGTACCAGTTGCACAAAATTAAACAGATTTCCTTGCTTGTACTTCAGAAGTCCAGTATTCTTCATGATGCCAATGTGCATTCTAAGTCTCAGAAGTGTGTGTGTGAGTGTGTGTGTGTGTGTGTGTGTGTGTGTGTGCATTTCCTAAATTTATTAGAGTACTTTATGGGATTAGGAGAATTTTAAGGAAAATGTAGCGGGAACCAGTGTGCAAATGCGGAGGTTGGGTATTGGGACTTCGGGGTCCTGTTTCTGCCCTTTTTCTCTTATCTTTGATGAGAGGGAGAACCACCTCCATCCTTCCCTCTAAAAAGCTAAGCTCCCCCCATGGGACAAGTCTTAGCTGGGATTTGGTCCCCTGACTCCACATCTGGCCCACTGATCCTTCTTCCTCCCCTCCCTCTCTCCCTGGTGGGTCTAGGATAGCCATCTTTCTGGAGGCCGTGTATGAGCAGACCAATGTGGCCCCCCACCACCAGGAATACCTCTTTGAGGGTCACCTCTGTGTTCTTGAGCCCAACCTCTCAGCACAGCACATCACCCACACAACTGCCAGCAGCCCCCTGACCCTGTTCAGCATGGCCAGCGAGACTCCAAAGGGGCTAGCCTTCAGGGACCGTGAGTAGGGTCACCCAGGCTGGGCAGCATTCTCCTCCAGGATACAGGGGATTACAATGCTGGGCATTAACTAATGGTTTTGGTTTCTTTTGTTTTGTTTTGGGGTGCATGGGGTATAGAAGGCAGATCCAGGTTTACATTCTGTGCATGCCTCTGAGATACCATGTGACTTTGAGTTGGTGGCCTGACCCCAGGGGCTTCTCAGTGTTCTCAGATCTGTGAAAGCAACACCAACTGAATCAGGGTTTTGGCTTTAGTGTGTGCTGCCCAATCTCTGTGATACAGGGAATACCTTGGTTGTTGGTATTGGAAGAAATAGGAACCCAAGCTGCTTGAGTAAAGGGCAGGTAGTCAGAGTCCCAGAGCTTTCTCCTTTCTCCAAGTTCTAGAAAACTATCATCCTTTCTCATTTTAATGATGCCCATTTCATCTTCCTTCCCTGAGGTGGGGAGGTGATTTAACCTTGAAACCCTTGGGCAAGACGCCCAAGGGGTTTTGTTCATTTTCTGTTGAGCCAAATCTTGAGCTTGAGGATTCTCCAAAATGGCCACAAGGTGGCAGTAAAGGACTGCAACTTAAAACCCACTCTCCTTTCATTCAAGCCTTGGATGGTGAGGGCTCTGGGTGAATTGGGAAGTTTGAGGTGAGAGATTCTTGAGGGTGGAATGTGATCTGGGAACAAGAAAGGATGAGCTCAGAATTGATCCAGACCATAGGGACAAATCCCTCAGATAGGGTCTTTATCTGCAGCTGCTCTGGACATCCCCAAGTTCGTCCCCAAAGTGGACCTACAGGCAGATTACAACAC